GCCAGTCTCATCATGGGGAATAATTACCACCAGCTGCCCAGCCACTCAACCAGGCCCAGCCAAGCTGACACACAAACATAACCACCACACCGTCCCTCAAACACCCAGCATGTCCATTCCCATGGATGGCCTCAAAGATGCTTGGGGAGGCAGTCTCTCATATAAAGGGGGACCCAGGGTGGACTAAGCCTTCTTCTTTCAAGGACGTGACATGGATTCCTCTGAGTGTCCTTCTGGGACACAGCTATGAAGCCATTCGTTTGAGCTGCCAGGGTTTGGGAAGTTTGGATGCTCCTCCCCACCCCAAAAAATTAAATAAAATAAAACCTATTGTTGTGAAGTTGGTCCCGCTTCAGGCGATGCTGTGTGTCAGAGTAGAACCATTCCATAGGGTTCCCTTGGCTGGGACCATTATGAAAGCCGACCACCAGGCACTGCAGGGTGGGTTTGAGCTGCCAACCTTTAGGTTAGCAGTTGAGCTCAAACTGTTGGTGCCACCTAGGGCCCTCAGACAATAAATACCACAAACTGGGTGTGATGGAGACTCGAGTGACCAGTGTGCTTGTAAAACTCATTTTACTAGGTCTTCGTGGAGCCGTAAACAATGTCCCTCCAGGTCAGAATCCACCAAGACTAGGAAGGGTAATGACTCCAATTGGCTAATTGGCGGCTTTACATAGGCTCTGTCATTGTCTGGCATGACCCCTGCAAAGCGGGGAATGTCACCAGTGTACAGTCGAAGCAGATCTTGGATCTGTCTCTGGACATATAGACATATAGTACCAGTTACCATGGAGTTGACTCTGAGTCATGACCACCTCGTGTATCAGAATAAAACTGTGTTCCATGGGGTTTCCAGTGTACGAGGTGCATTGACTGGGAATTGACCCCAGGTTTCCTGCACGGAAGGCGAGAATTGCGATTAAATGAATTAATCTCTTTCCCTCTCCCTATCTCTCTGTAGGTATATATATGTTGTTGTTGTTGTTATGTGCCATCCAGTCGGCCCCGACTCATAGCGACCCCTCCTTGGGTTTCCGAGGCAGTATCACTACGGAAGTAGGATTGCCCAACCTTCCTTC